TGGTGGAAAAAAGGAGACTTCTACTCCTCCTGGATTCCGCAGAACTGACTATACCCAGGATTTTCCACCTCTTCCGGGGACATCCAAAACCCCTGATGCCCCAATTTTAAGAACAGAAACCCCTTCTTCATCTGGGCTGTTCTCGATTGATGACATTGTGGACGGTATTCTCAAATACCTCAACATTTCTGATCCTCTGAAAAGCATTGTCCTCACATTGCTTCCCACTGTGAAATCCTTCTTGAAGCAATTGACTTCAAAATGGCCCCTTCTTGCAGCTATCATCTCTTTCGATGGATAATTTTCTAAACGAGGTCGGGGATTTGATCACTGTTCTACAGTGGAATTGTCGAAGTCTTATTCCGAAATTAGATTCGTTCAAGTATTTAGTCCATAACAATAATTGCGATGCATTTGCCCTCTGTGAAACATGGCTCTCTTCAGAAATTGATCTCCCTTTTTATGATTTTAGCATTATTCGATTGGATCGTGAGGATTCACGTGGAGGAGGGGTACTTTTGGGGATCAAAAAGTGCCATTCCTTCTATACACACTTAGAAAATATTACCGAACTCGGTTTGATTTCAACCGAGTTTTTATCTGCTGAACGCTCGGTAGTCTGTTCGGTTCAAAGAGGAATAACCGAGCTGTCGTTAGTTCTTATTGTTACCCACAATCTGTCAAAGTTACCGAAAATCTCGGTTGACGAAAAATAAATTTAAGCAGAAAAAACCGAAAATCGGTTCACTCAAGAATTACCGAACGATGTCTAACAAACCGACCCACCTGTTGTAATTACGGAATTCGGTTCTCTTGGCAAGCGCTCGGTTTTCACTTCAAATCCCGCTTTAAATTTTGATTAAGGATGCTTTGCTTCGAATTTTCATAAAAATAAAACCAGTTTTGTCAAAGAAATGTATGAAATATTTTTATTTTTATTTTTTGAGAATAAAACTCCCGTAACGCGAGTTACAGCGTGGCAAAGTACAATAAAAAAAATATCACTGACTTTGATGTCATTCTTATTCAAATGGTTTTTAAATGCCTTTGCAAGCTAGAGACATAACCTTGTACATTTTCACGGCAGTAGAAACAAACTATAGCACAAGATGCCTGCAAATAAAATCATACAGTTAGTTTCAAATACTTACAAAAGTTTTAAATCAATCGTGCATCCTCCTGTTACAGCTGCTCCAGAACTTTTTCGATTTTTACTAAAGTTTTGCACACGTCCGATGAGCACACACGAGAAAAAATGGCTGACTGATTTTAAACTCAGCTTAGAGAACCGAGTTTCCCGTAAAATTTCCGTCGCGAAGATGAGCGCAAGTTTGACGTTTAAGCGTTTGACGTTTAACACGTTTTAGCGAATATTCGGTTCAGTTTACCGAGTTTCTCGGTTTGCACGTAGCGAATTCGTAAATGTCGATACTTTACCGTACTTTTCGGTTCAGTCTTCATTTCTATCTGTCAAATTTATACTCTTTTACCGAAATTCGGGTCTGCTTCGATAAACGATGGTTTTTAAACCATTTATTCGGTTTCTCGTTGGTAACCGAAGAGGTTCGGTAGAAAATTAAACCGAGTTCGGTATTATTTTCTAAGTGTGTAGAGTGAATCTTCCCGAATTCCCCGGTATTGAAGTTGTCGCATGTCAGGCTACCATTAAAGGTAAGAGCCTTTGTATTGCTTCTGTATATATTGCTCCCAGAGTCTCTGTTAATCGCAAACAACTTTTCGACATATGTGCGGTACTTCCCGCTCCATGGTTGATCATGGGAGATTTTAACTCCCACGGTACAGGCTGCTGTAGGATGATAACCGTTCTACTTTGATTTATGATCTCTGCGACAACTTCAACATGACAATACTTAACAATGGAGAAGTAACACGTTTGGCTGGTCCATCCTCTAATGGTAGCAGATTAGACCTCACCTTTTGCTCCAATTCACTATCGTTGGATTGCACTTGGCATGTTATCCAGGATCCGCACGGTAGTGATCATCTGCCGATCAAAATTTCGATTGCCAGTGGGTTCAACTCGTCAGAATCCGTTAACGTCGCGTATGATCTAACCCGTAACATCGATTGGACTAAGTTCCAATCCGCGATAGGCGATACAGTATCGTCAGTGAAAGAGCTTCCGCCGTTGGAGGAATATAATTTCCTCTCTAATCTCATCGTCGACAGCGCACTTCAAGCTCAAACACGACCGGTGCCGCGATTGTCAATCCGTAAGAAAACACCATCGCTCTGGTGGGATCAACAATGCACGGAGGTTTACCGTAAAAAGTCCGACGCGTTTAAACTTTTTCGGAAACGCGGAACACACGAGCATTTCGATGCATACACACTTCTTGAACGCGAACTCAAGAGCCTCATCAAGGCCAAAAAACGGGGTTACTGGCGGCAGTTTGTAGACGGATTGTCGCGCGAAACGTCTATGAATACGCTTTGGAGTACGGATTCCGTACCGTCGCAGTTGATTCCTCGCGAAACCGCGAATTCGGTAGACGAAATCAGTCAGCCTTTTTCAATGGTCGAACTTTCACTCGCTCTTCTTTCGTGTGGCAATTCTGCCCCGGGATCAGCTGGAATCAAGTTCAACTTGCTGAAAAACTTCCCACAATCCCACTTGTACAATCAGTTCTTGGAGCTCAATATTGTTCCCGACGATTGGAGACGAGTGAGGGTGATAGCCATTAAAAAGCCTGATAAACCCGCGTCGGATCACAATTCGTATCGGCCCATCGCGATGCTGTCGTGTATTCGGAAATTGATGGAGAAAATGATCCTTTTTCGCCTCGACAAATGGGTTGAGACGAACCACCTTCTTTCAGATACTCAATTTGGTTTCCGTAGGGTTAAGGGAACGAACGACTGTCTCGCGTTGCTTTCCTCGGAAATTCAGTTAGCTTTTGCTAAGAAAGAGCAAATGGCTTCTGTGTTCTTGGATATCAAGGGGGCTTTTGATTCAGTATCCGTTGAAGTTATTTCAGAGAAACTCCACGCTTGTGGATTGTCTCCATTAATGAATCATTTTTTGTACAATTTGCTGTCAGAAAAACATATGAGCTTTTCTCATGGAAACTCTACAGCTTTTCGATTTAGCTACATGGGTCTCCCCCAAGGCTCATGTTTAAGCCCCCTTTTGTACAATTTCTACGTTAGAGAAATTGATGACTGCCTTAGTGACAATTGCACGTTGAGATAACTTGCAGATGATGGCGTAGTGTCTATCACAGGGCCAAAAGAGGTTGACCTGCAAGGACCCTTACAGGATACCTTAGACAATTTGTCTACTTGGGCTATTCAGCTAGGTATCGAATTCTCCACGGAGAAAACTGAGTTGGTCGTTTTTTCTAGGAAGCATAGCCCAGCACAACCGAAACTTCAACTTTTGGGTAAGCCGATCACTCTTTCCATGTCTTTCAAATATCTCGGGGTCTGGTTCGATTCCAAATGCACCTGGAGATCCCTCATTGAGTACCTGAGACGAAAATGCCAACTAAGGATCAATTTCCTTCGATCAATTACCGGAACGTGGTGGGGAGCCCATCCACAAGATCTTCTGACGTTGTACCGGACAACGATTTTGGCTTTAAGGCACCTGAACACCATGCTGCGCAGGATTCCTTTCCATACTCAGGGTTTCGTTGAAGGTTTTGAACACTCGACAAACTGTTATTTTCGGCATCATCAGCACTTCAGCCAGCTTGGAACTGAACCACTCCAGATTTTCCAGGTGTTTGTGCACAATACTTTTTCTTCTTTCGAGTTCCACTTGACGTTATTTCTGAACGCGATTGACTACTTTGATCAAACATGCACCAGTTGTTCTCTATAGAAGTGTAAACAAACCACTGTCAAAGATTTTCGATTCCCGACAGCCTTTATACTAATGCAAAAATGGTATTGTCATCGAATGCTCTCAATTAATAACTGTGGAAATGCATCAATAACGGAATTTTCTCACTAGCGGCGCTAGTGTGCTTGAATTTGTGATTCCCTAGTTTATGTTATAACTTGAAATCCTTGCCATCTAGAAAGTTGCTGTCTTCCGGGAAGTTGTTCAGTGGATCAATACCTAATCAACTTCGCCACAGGAAGCAACTTCCTAGATGGCCGCGTAGTGAGAAAATTCCGAACTTCTGTCCACCAACCTTAAGATCTTAACCTGCTATATGTCCAGGACCTTCCTCAGATTTGACCTCCTTGGGATGCTTCCGTAAGGCCTGTTTCATAATAGCCCAGTATTTTTCGATGGGCCTTAGTTCCGGTGCGTTGGGGGGTTTATGTCCTTGGGTACGAAAGTGACTCCGTTGGCTTCGTACCACTCCAGGAAAACATTTAAATAGTGGCACGAAGCTAGATCCGGCCAGAAGATCGTAGGGCCCTCGTGTTGCTTCAACAGAGGAAGCAGACGCTTCTGTAGACACTCCTTGAGCTAGATCTCCCCGTTTAAAGTCCCGGTAGTCACAAACGGCACACTCCGTTTCCCACATGAGCAGATCGCTTGCCAAATCATTTATTTCTTGGGAAACTTTGAAAGTTTCTGCTTCCTTACTTCCTCCGGAACATCAAACTTGTGCTGGGCGGTGAAGAACAGTAGTCCCGGAAGCTGCCGGAAGTCCACCTTGACGTTGTCTCATCATCCATGATGAGACAATGAGGCTCAGCTTACTCAAAAATATTTACCGTGTATACATCTAATAGAAAGACAACTTCGTCTCAGACGTCATTTCGATTAGAAGTGACGTTTTCATCCTACGATTTATTGAAAAAAATCTAATCTATTGAAAAAAGTCATCCTACGATTTATTGAAAAAAGTCAGCCCTGTGAGGCTGTACGCAATGGTGACGTAGGACAACGTGGTCTTATCTAATACATCTTATTTGTTAACTGCAGCAAGAGCTTGTGTTTTGTGTAGGAATAGGAGTTTGAGCGGGGTTCTCTCTGTTTATACTCTTTAGTATGACGCCCACAGATGGCCCACAGCGACTTACGAAGAGCTACTGTTTCAGATAAATAGTGGTGCGGCTTCTTCCTCCTTTTATGAATGCTCATGTGAGCTGCAGCTCGCTACTGCCAGGCAGCCTTTCATTGTGTACTGGAGAACACCACCCCACCACTCACCACGTGGTGATTGAATAAACACCGTTTGGTGAGACCGGATGGAATTCAACTTTGAAATCTGTGTTAGGGAAATCGCTTTTCGCAGGCAATCGGTAATAATTTTAATTATCATAGCAACAGTTGCACATTCGTGCAATTTTCAATAGTGACATCTTAAAAATGATAAGGTCTTAAGTTTAACAGATGCGTAGAAATGTTTCTGATCGATTGGTGATAAAATTATTGAAATTGGTCCATTGGCCGCTGAGTTATTAACGTTCAAAATCTTGCATAATTTTGTTACATGTTCCATTTTCGGTTTTCACAATGTGTACCCCCATATAAAAATCACAGACGTAATCCTACGTCAAAATGTGCATGATTCCCCATAACAAACAATTATGCAAAGTTTCATGCAAATCGCAGAAGGTTGAGTCTGATCGATATGTCTTTTGGCGTGGAACCGCTCCATATGGGCATAGCGGATAATCCAAAGCATGCTCCAACGAGTCCCCCCCTCTTCTTTAGAACCACCAATCCACGTACCACCTTCCCTTTTTCCTCTAACAATACAAGGTCGAAAATTATTAATTTAATAACTTTCACCAAGAGTACGAAAACGTATCGCTTGAATATTTACTCCATATCTTGTTTCTACTAACAATTACACTAAAAGTGAGCCTTATTCTCAGTCGTAATGCGCATTGCCTCCGGTTACATTTTTCTTCCTCTTCCTTACAGTATATTCTTCTGTACGTATACACACACTCACACGAGAGAACCTAAAACGACATCTAATACCTCTACACAGAAGTCCATTTCACTCGCTCGCATTCAACGCACACACACACTCTCAAAAGGTCTCGACAAAACTAGAGGGGGGAGGGGGCAGGTGCAGGTCACGTGGGGGGCGGCGGTGCACTGATTGTATCAACATTACTGATCGTCGTCATGGCGAGCGTGGAAATATTTCAGAGAAAGCTCTCCCGCGCCGTGTGCTGGCCTTCGTTGTCCAGGACGAAGCGCTGCGAGCCCGGTTCCCCGTACTGGCTGTGGTAGAAGTCCTCCCGCATCAGGATGTTCAGATTGGAACAGCGGAAGTACAGGATCTCCTGGAACGGCTTCCGGAAGTCCCGGTTCAGGGTGGCGTAGATGATCGGGTTCAGCAGGGAGTTGGCATATCCGAGCCAAAGGAAGAAGGACGACAGCGTCGGGTAGTCGTCGTCCATGAGCGGCCGGACCAGGGCCAGGATGAAGAAGGGCAGCCAGCAGATGGTGAAGGCAGACATGATGATGCCCAGGGTGGTGGAAGCTTTGCGTTCTTTGGCTAGCTGAAAGCGGAGTTTCTTCTGGTGCGGCGAACCGACGGAAGCGGACACGGGTTCCGGGGGTTTGAGCATGGCTTGGTTTTTGTCCACTGCGAGGGAATTTTCCAGTCTTGTTTGGGCCCGCTTTTCGTCCTTGACTATTCGCCGGGCGGCTCGGAATATCTGATAGTATACAAAAAGCATCACCGCCAGGGGTATGTAGAAGGACCCCAGGGTGGCGTAAATTTGATAACCTACGTCTTCGCAAACGGCACAGAACGGGCGCTGGTCCGGACCGTCGCCGATCGTGTGCTTATTGCCTAGGATAAGAAGCGGTGGCAGCGATATGCAGGCAGCTGCCAACCAGACGAGTGCCACGCAGAGCATCATCCGGCGGGGCGTGCGCTTGACGCCGTACTCCAGGGGCTTCGTGATGGCCCAGTACCGATCGACGGATATCGCACACAGGTTCAGGATCGAAGCCGTGCACGAAAGCACGTCGAACGAAACCCAAATATCACAGAAAACTCTACCGAAGTTCCACTCGCCCAGGACTTCGTACATCAGGGCCGGAGGCATCACCAGGCAGGCCACGCACAGGTCCGATACCGCAAGGGAAACCAGTAGATAGTTGCATGGCCTGCGCAACTTCCGCACCAGACAGACGGCCACGCAGACCAGGATATTGCCTACGATGGTGCCGAATATCACAGCTAGTAGAACAATGCATATGATCACCTTGCGGATCGTGTCGATCTCCGGTTCATGATCGAGTGCCTTGCCAGCTAGGGTCGACGCAATGATCGATCCAGCGGTGGTTGTACTGGTACTGGTCCCTCCTGCTGCTGCTGCTGCTGCTGCCGCCACCGATGGACTGAGGCCATCCGAGCCTGCCACGGAGTGGCTGAACGTTTGATTCAACGTCAACAGGGCGAACGGTACGGCCGGGATCGCCGACACATCCAAATCCGGAATTTGACTGGAACTTGCCTGCTGCTGCTGCTGCACGGTGATTTCATTTACGAGCCTCGATAAACCTAGTGCGTCCATATAAGGACCCAAACTGTGTTGACCACCGGTCCCGTTCTACACGTAATTGCGTTGTCAATCCTCGTCTAACCTAACTCGTAGCAGTAATTAATCTCTGTTATCCTACCGGCAACTACACCACCTAGCCATCTAATCCAGTTTTGATTACATTGTTCGTGTGGGAAAGCCTTTGATCCCACCTTTTTCCTATGAATAAAAATATCACCTCGTAACTTCTCCTACCACCTCCCGTGCCTCGTCGTCGCCCTGTCCAAGCTGTCACGTCTCTTAACAACATCCAACCGCGTACAGAATAGTTCCACTCCTAGCATCCTCACCACTTGATCTGCATTAAAATTTTAATAGAAAACACAACTCTCTGGTTTTGGACTCACTTTCCGTCCCCAGACCTGGTTGTGATCCTGATGACTTTTACGTCGTCGTCGTCGTCGTCGTCGTCGCCCCAGCCCTCGAATCGATTTTATAATAAATGATTACTCCGAGCTGGACCGGAACAAGCCGCAGGTGCCACACTACCCACAGGGATGATGATGATGATGCTGACGGTGGCAAGAAGTGCCTTTGATTTGTCCCGGGCTTTTTGTTCTATCGCAAATTGCCGGACGACCGACAGGCAGACAGACAGCCGGAGGACTTTAAACTGTCACTGCCAGCCGGACTGAGATGGGTTGACAGCGATGGTGTTAGATTGATTACTGCTGCTCGTACGGGTTCTGCAATGGGGAAAGAAGGAAAAGAGTGAGATTAGAAATTTAATATCGTTGATAGTGCCTAGATGGGGCTGATTTGGTTTGTATTCTAATGAGTCATTTTGTGGGGTGTTTTCGCTGCAATCTGGCCGGAGCATTTCTAGTCGAGATTACACGAGATGATGTGTGGGTGGCGGGAAAGTTTGGTGATTAAAAACTTGTCAAACCTGATGTTGAGCAGGACAAAGTTGTACTGAAAAGTCATTCATCTTCATAAATCATCATTGGATGATGGAAGTGCTTTGCTAGGGACGGTTGAGGGATTATGGGTTTAGGGTGATTCGGAATAACTGATACTGTTGAAAATGGTCATAACGATTGAACGATTGCATGATTTTTTGATATCAGTATATTCCAGATCTTGGGACAGAAACTGGATTTCGGACTGGTACAGCACGACTCGTTTGTTTGCAATGTGCATGAGTCAGTTTTTTAGCTGTAATATATTTAATTAGGATTATTGTTAAATAAGGGCTTGTTAAATGGTTGTGTTTATGTGTTGTAACGGGACATGGGAGGGTTAAATCTCGGATGCAATACAACCTCCGCTTAAGCGCCAGGTAAGCTTTATCCTGCCGCGAAGGAGCACGTTTCTCAACAAAGAATCCCGTACCCGGCTGCGAGACCTCAGGGCGAGTCCTTAATTGTGCCTTATCCCACGGCCGAAACTTAGATACCCAAACTACAACGAAGATTGGACCTACCATTCAACGTCCAGGGTAGGTAGGTTTCCTTTGAAGGTTTGCCTTCTACTCGTCCCGAAAACGGAAACTGCAACAAACGATATCTCTCCACCAAACTTAAGAAGGTCAGACGTATGAGGGAACCTACGCTACATGTGGGTCATAATTATTCCTCGGCTAATGTGCCAAATAAAAATAAGGAAGCACTGGTGTATAATACGCCTTTTCAATGCACCACCAACGTAGAGTGCGCCACGCGAGTTCGAGAAGAAACGTCAACCAAACCGTTTGTTTACATCAGAATAATTATTTTTCACAACGCAAATTAAAGCATTTTTCACTCAACATCTTACCAATTTCTATCGGTAATTGTCTTATTGTACGATTTTCCACAGATCTGAACTGATTTGTACCTTAACTATCCACACACAGGAAATCCGGAAGATCATAACCACTAAGGCACTTTTCTAATTTTTCATTTTTCGCAACAAAAATATTGCTGTACACCAACAGGATGTTTGCAAAAACGTTACAGAATTAAATTTTTACGTAGGACTACGTCTGTGATTTCTATATGGGGGTACACTTTGTGAAAACCGTGAATGGAACATGTAACAAAATTATGAAAGATTTTGAACGTTAATAACTCAGCTGCCCCTGGATCAATTTCAATAAGTTTATCACCAATCGATCAGAAATATTTCAACGCATTTGTTTAATTTAAGACTTTATCAGTTTTTCAAAATGTCACTATTGATATTAGCATGAATGTGCAACTGTTGCTGTTATAGTTAAAATTATCACCTTTCCTGCGAAAAGAGATTTTCCTAACACAGATTTCAAAGTTGAATTCCAACTGGTCTCACCAATCGGTGTTTATTTAATCACCGCAAGGTGAGTGGTGGTGTTCTCCAGTCACAACGAAATGCTTCCTGCAAGTAGTGAGCTGCAGTCCACATAAGCATCCATAGAAGGAGGAAGAAGCCGCACCGTTATTGATCGGAATCAGTAGCTCTTCGTGATTCGGCGTTGGAATGTCTATGTCAAGCATATCATACTGAAGAGTACAAACAGAGATAACGCTGCTCAAATTCCCATTCTTACACAAAACACAAGCTCTTGCTGCAGTTAACAAATAAGCTTTATTATATAAGAACACGTAGTCCTACGTCCCCGTTGCGTACAACCCCATAGGGCTGTCCCGTGTAGTTTTTAACTGTAGATTAAGTTTTGGAGCATCTGAGATGAATCAATTCATCAGGAAAAGTAAAAAAATGTTCCGCTTCTTATGTCTCAAGGCAAAAATTTCTGCTCACAACTCTTTTTGACGTTCTCCTATTCACCACTAGAGGTTGAATCGATCGTTTAGCTCCCATTAAAAAGACCTATTGGTATAATAGGCGAATCCAATAGAAACTAAGCGATTGTTTCAGCTTCTGGCGGTGAATAGGGGAACCATCAAAAGAGTGATGAAGGTGGAAATTTTCACCGTAAGCACAGGAAGAGGGAAATATTTTCACCTTTACTGATTAATTTATCCACCGCAGGTGCTTGAAATCATCATCCACGTGGAATATTTTGTTTTCTGTATCGGGTTTGCAGTGATCCGGCTAGTGCTACCATATATTTTTGGTGAGAAAAATTAAGATTTATGAAATTGTCTCACCGGTTATGATCTTCCGGATTTTTAATGTGTGGTTATTTCAGCTGTAAATCAATTCAGATCTGTAGATAATCGAAAAATAAGACCACTCCCGATGGAAATTTGCAAGTTGTGCAATAAAATGAACATTGTTTTTTAATTTGAAAATCGTCATTATGATGTAAACAATTGGATTGGATGACATTTCCTCTCAAAATCGGCTAGCGCATTCTACATTGGTGGTGCATGAAAAGAGCCAATTCGTACAACGTCCTGGCGTTCTAATAGTAGGGTTAGTATGGTACAAACGTTGGATCGATATTACTTGTTCTTATATCTGTTCTGCTACTGAATTCCGGCACTTATCTTCATCCCACGACGTCCTCACGTGTCCACAGGGCCTCCTGCGAGTGAACCTTCCGACGATATCACACGTGACTTGAATTTTTATGTTGGCCTCCTGTCGGCGACTAGCCGAAACGTATGTTGTTTGAGCAATGGATAGCGAGTGTGACGCTCACCACGCACCACGTGACCACGTGGTGAATGTGTGATGACAATTGGCAAATCAAAGTTGGCTCTGGTGGAGAATAGAAGAACTATGAAAGTGATGATGGTTTCAAAATTTTCCACGGGGAAGTATACGAGTGCAATCTTAAAATGCTTTTATTTTGTGAATGGAGTATTTTATTTAAATCTGGTTAGTGCTACGTTAGTAGAAAACTTCAGGACTACTCAATAGACATATAATACAGAAAACATAATTTCTTTTCAGATTTTTAGGTGTAAACATAGACTTCCGCTTTTCTACCACTGTAGCAGTAACCAGATTTATAATAATAAAATGCTCCATTTTCAAAATAAAAGCATTTTAAGATTGCACTCGTATACTTCCCCGTGGAAAATTTTGAAACCATCATCACTTTCATAGTTCTTCTATTCTCCACGAGTGCCAACTTTGATTTGCCAATGGTGACGGCGATGTTCGAGGCGGTGATTCTCGCCAATGATTGTGCAGGATTGTGCACACTAGTGGGCCCATGCATTAATTATGTCACGCTAAATCGAGGAGAAATTAACCTCCCCCCCCCCCCCCTCTATCGTGACGTTTTTCCTATACCTAATGCATTGCTTGTCACAAAATCTCTCAGCCAACCATTCCGGATCCGGTCTTCCACCACAACTACCAGATCACCAACTTGAACGGGTCTTCCATCCACGAACCACTTCGTACGCTTAGTGATCGTAGAAAGATACTCCTTGATCCATCGACCCCAGAACCTGTCGAGTAGTTGTTTGCACAGGTCCCAGTTACAGCGTGCCTCTGCCCTCACGTCGATCGGCTCCCTAGCTGGCTGATTAACTCCGCTAGTGCTCAGCATTAGGAAGCAGTTCGGGGTAAGTGCTTCTTGTTCCTCGGAATTGATTGGCAGGTATGTGAGAGGCCGTGAGTTGACAAGAGATTCAGCCTCGATCAGGAACGTACGAAGAGTTTCATAGTCCGGGTTGCCACCGGTAGTCAAAGATGCCAGTGCACGTTCCCATGACCACCCCCTGCCCCTCCCCCATGTGTGGCGTAGAGGGTGGATTGAAACGCCACTGTGTATCCGTGTTGGTGAACGTACTCGCAAGGTTGCTGTTGATGTACTGAAGTTCCCTTTTCAGGTCGCGGCTAGCACCCACGAAGTTTGTTCCCCGATCACTGAATATCTCCCGTGCCCCCCCCCCCCCCCCCTTCGTGCGAGGAACCACCTAATCACCATGTTGCAGGATTCCGTTGTCAGGTTGTGCACCACCTACATGTAGCATATTTTCGAATCTCGGAAATAGAGAAGACAACCACGAATACTTTTTAAAACTTATATTGTCCGGTTATCATCGTCTAACCGTCTAAAGCGAATAAAACGATTACCGACGAAAAAGCGATAGATTCTTTTTAGTTTAACATTTGATAACTGAACGGCAGTGATGCCAGAAAGTATTTTTATCGAGCGTAAATAATTTTACATACACAACATTTCTTCCCTCATTTCGGAATGAATCGTCTACGGAGAGTACTTGCGGGAAGGGCGGCGTTCTCTTGTTGAACGACGCACGAAGAATGGAGAAGAATTCGCATTCTGAAGAACCGGGCTACCAGATGCCGTATGGAACTCTGTAGAAGCTGGTTCAGCAGGAAACCCTCTAGGGTTCACGGGAGTTGATGGTACTCTAGGAACTGTCACACCGTTGTCGTAGAGCTGCACAGTTGCACGTCGTGGTACGTCCGGCTCACTTGGCTCGTCCGCTTCGGATGCTTCGACCGTTCGGTGATAGTTCGTACCGAGCCTCGAACGAATTTGATCGACGTGACGCTTGAACCGTTTTCCAACGTAGTCGATTTCGTAGTGGAGATCTCCAAGTCGAGCTGCAATTACACCAGGAATCCACTTGTCCATACGGGAATTACCGGAGAGGAAATAGATCTGTTGTCTCGAGCTGAATTCACGAAAAGATCGGTCAAAATTGGCTTGTTGCTTTGTCGTGACCCTCAGGTGAACGTTTTCAGGCTTGAAGAGATCTAAACGTGTTCTGCGGTTCCGTCCAAGGAACAATTTGGACGGCGATTCTCCGGTGCAAGCGAGTATTTTGCCTCCGGT